GCTGGGTCAAAACAGCCCAATTGCTGGGTTTGTCCCTATTTTACCCAGCACTGGGTTGTATTCAACCCAGCATTTTTTAGAGTGTACAGTCGCATGTGTCCTTCTCAGCTGTGAATCTTCTAGCTGGTCCTCATCATTCGGCTCCTAAAGAGTTAACTGCTGCGGCAAGCCGCCGCGCGTTCCCGTGCGAGCGTCCCATTGGCTGCGCGACGGCAGCGCGCGCCGTTAATCAGCTGCAAGAGCGGCTGAGTTCATCTTCTCGCGCGCGCTATAGGGATGCATTGCCACACACAGCAGGGCAACACAACACATCAGGAGCATGCACACAGCAAACATCCCATCAGCTTTAGACATTGATCCTGGCAGCAGCACTGACAGCACCTGACCTCTGCAGCATCAGCACCAGAAGAAGAAGCTGATCGTTCCTTCTCTCAGAAACTGAAAGCAGTAGCACATCATCATCACAACAGTAGGAGGCGAGCAGATCACATCATGCACTGGACTTTCCTCGCGTACATACTTAGATCTGTTTCCTAAACCACACTGGGAATGGACAGCTGTCTCTGATCTCAATCAGCCGAGCTTTTTCAGGACACACTGGACTGATAAAAAGTTCTGTGCTCGTTTACACTAGACGGAAAGTGTAAAGCACGTGCGTTTTCTTTTTCTATTATGGCTATTTAAAGCCTGTAGCTGTATATTCAAAAGTAAAAGGCATATTATTTAATTAGTTAAAATAATATTAGGATACTTTGATTTAAGATTTTAGGAGTTAGTGCGTCACTTTATGGTAAGTTTCCTAAACTGACAATTATTAGTCAAAATTGGCTCACAAGCAGTCATAAAGACAGTTAGAGCATTGATATATTTGGAGGATATGGTTAAATAATACGCTTTTGAGGAAGTTTACACAAGCTCGGATCCGTCAGCTTGGAGCGCTTGAAACTTTTCCGCGTAAAAGCGCACAGGACGCGCAAAGAGGCGGCCGTCTGCGAGCACCATCATCACCAACCCTCTAAAAGCAGCAGTTCTCTCCTCTAAAAAGCAGAAAACAAGACGTAGAATGGCTGATGAGCTTGTTTCCATCACTAATGGGATTGTGCTGCTGTGATTTGTCGGATCGGAGGGAAGGTTGATCCACACACACTCGTTTTCTGCAGCATTGCGGTGCGCGCTCGGGGATGATCAGGATCTTCCCGGATTTCAGTGTTCAGGTGACGGCGGCGGCGGCTGCAGGTGCGGGAGCCGGTGGAGGGATGCCGGCTGCGTCCAGAGTCCCGGGAGCTACTAACGGGAACCCGCAAAACCTCCAAGGCTTGACGTCTTACCAACAAAGGTACGTTGACTAGACGCAAAACATGTTTTTTTCTTCTTCCACGTTTAGGTGACATTCATACTATTCATGTCATATGTGTTGCGTCCATTCACATTCACCGTTAACATGTTTATATATAAGCAATACTGAATTTCCCTGGAGGTTGCTGAAGGTGTAAACTTAGATTCCTAACATCTCAGTTTCACTGAGTTCCAGGTTTTGCTTCATTTATCAAACACAACGCCAAACCATATAAAGCCAGCCGTTTACTGAAGCTGTAACGTTTTATTATGTGCCAAATTCCAGAACACACACACACACACACACACATTTGTATAGAAAAGTCACATTGTGATTTATAGTCAATATAAATGTTTTGCATTCAAATTTATCATACAAATAAGCATCTTTTATATCAAATTAAATATTCAAAGCAACTGTGATCATTATAAAACTGATATCAACTATTTCAATGCACATAAAAGCTCACTTCAGAACAAATGGTCTCAAATTATTCATTTAGATTGATTTCAAGTGACAACTGAATGCAAAAGCAATGCATAATTCTTATATTCAATAGTTTAAAATAGATTAGAAAAGATTGTATTAAAACTTTAATCTCCAAAACCAAGAAAACACCACAAAATCACATGGTGTGTGATTTAGATTTATACAAATATAAAATAACTCTTCATAAAGTTTGTCAAATTGCTAAACAGATTTAGTATTATTAATTTTTTTCACACAAATTCACACAATCATTTTCATCATCTACTAAAGCTAGGCGTTAGACTGGCGTTAATGGATGTGGATGTTCTGATTGTTAGTATATCAGCAGAATCATGTGCACACATGCTTATAGTGTCAGGTTCAATTAAACAGTCTATTTAGAGCACAACACATGGAACAGGACATTAAATGGGGTGGCTGTCAGCTCGTGACCTTGACAGGTCACAGGTTCTAATGCACATCACAAAACAGGCCTTTATTTATGCCAACACGGATTCATTTAGAAAAATACAAATAATATATTGAATGTGCATTAGTGCAAAAAAATACTTTAACCATGCACATCTTTCTGCATTTATCTGTATATCTAACATATGGACATTGCATACGAGATATCTTTTTTATATCTTTAATTAAAAAAATAATTAAAGTTTTGTGCTCTTAGTGCTTTGACACAATACCTGTTTCAAAATAATTTAGTCTCAGATTAAATTAAGCCTCAACTTGGCATGTGAGTTCATTTTGACAGCTGTCAATCATATCTCTCGACATGTTTATAGCAAATATGAATGCAAACATTAGCATGCAAACGATCAAAAGGTGTCATCAAGAGATTTCTCCAATCCGTTCGTTGATGCATCAGAAACAACCTGTATATTCCACATAAACTCAAACTATTTCCAACTACAACTGAGTGGCGTTGTTGCGCCGGCAGTAGAGGGAGATGAGAAGAAGAGAGAGGCAGGAAAAAAGCTGAAAAATGCGGACGAACATACTGGGAAGAAGCGGCTGTGTTCGAGGGGAACATCGTGATGTAAAAGCCCCTCTCCTGCACTGATTCCTGCCTTCGTTTCCTCCGCGAGGACAGCCGCCGGATGGCACGAGCGTCCCCGGGTTTCCTCTCACTTTATTGGAATGCCTTTGGATCTCAGCGTCGGCTGGTCTCGCTCCCGTCTGAACGCGTCTTAACGCACGGAGACACCGATGGCGTTGCTTCAATGCTCCCGGTTCCGCTGTCAGCTGCTCGTCGCGTGAAATTCGGAGGAAAAAAGTGTAATTAATAATTGCAGGAAGATGGCGCCCACCAAGCCCAGCATTCAGCAAGACCCTTCCAGAAGAGAACGGTAAACGCTCGGTTTGTTGTGTGTCTGTGGAAACGCGTGCGCTGACGGTCATTTTGGACTGAGATGTGAAACTTTGCCCTTTCCGCGGGAGTGTGTGTGAGGTTGGGTAACAGGTATACACGCTGACAGAAGCCGTGAGTGTGTGTGTGTGTGTGTGTGTGTGTGTGTGTGTGTGTGTGTTTTGGTGGACAGAGGACATGACCGTTGAATGTGTTCAGCGTGTGTCGCGCTGCTGCCTGCTGGCAGGTTTCGCGGGAAATTGGTGAACATTCGAACGCGACCATGTTGCAGCGTTGTATCCGCTCGGCGTTTGTTCTCTTGCGGCATTAGGCCAATCTGAATAAAACACACTGTTTACTGCTGTGAAATAATGTGCGCCAGGCTGCTGTTTGAGGCAATTTCAGTGTAGATCGATGTGGATTTGAGTCCTGGATTGGATCAGAAACTCTTGATGCGGATTGTAATTTGAGCAGTAAATACATTTGGAAATGACAGTTGATCACAAGACTAGTTATATACACTAGTCAGGTGTATGTTAAATGAGTAGCTGAAATGCTTTTCATTTAGGTTTGGTGTTTAACACGTTACACTACAGGTGCACGATTGCTATTATGATTAGTTTGATCTATAGATTTTATATTTTCAGATATTTTATATAGTAGGGTGCATGCCTAAAAGATTGATTTTATTTGTTGTTGCTTATTGAGTAGTTGAGATTTGCTGGTGCTTTTTACACTTGTGACAGGTGGTGCACTAAATTAATTAGTCAGATCAATAGATCTGAAATTGTGATACAAGACTGTTTTAATATGTGCATAAAGCAGATGTTTGAGAAAGTAATGTATGAGATCAGAAACGCTTGAGGATGAAGAAAACATGCCACTAAATGAATCTAGTTATGAAACTAATGTCATAATTAGTTCATTTATAGATCAGAAATTGTGATCTAAATCTATTGTGTACATTAATCAGGTGAATGTTTTAATGCTGTTACTTTATTGCAATTTTTTGTGAATATTACATGTTCATTTAGTCTTAGATGACAGGTGGTGGTGCATTAAATTCTGCAATTAATAAATTATTTGATCTGTAGTTGTGATAAGACTATTTTAATGTGCATAAAGCATCAAGTGGCTGTTTGAGGACTATTAAATGTATTTATTAGAAAATGTAGATGGATTTAATATGCATATTTCCATGCATATTCTATGCATTGAAATATTTCTATGCATATTTCTTTCATTTTAGGATTAGTTTTGTTGATCTGAAATTTTAATATGACTATTTTAGGTGGGTGTTGTTGTATTGCTATTTTGAGTATTGCATATGTATCAGATTTTAGATGACAGGTGTTGCACTGCATTAATCTGCAGTTATGAAATGACTAATGATCTGAAATTGCAACAAGGCTGTATCTTATTTACACTACCTAGGTATGTGTTGTTTTCTTTATTATCGAAACTTTTTATTGCAAGTTCATCAGTCTTTTGTGTTTAGATGACAAGTGGCTGTCGGATTGCGCTTAGTATATCGCTGGTTCTTCTTACATAAACGCATACGAACAATAGGTATTTTAGGTTTAGCTTTCAGGAGTATTAAATTAGGCAGCACTGATTCACGCCGCACTGCGTGTGTCTGTGTGCAGCTTGTTGAAGTAATGTTAAATTGTATGCAATAATTCTGCAGTGTGTGTACAAAATATCAGCCGTAGAGCCAGTGACATTTTACAATGTAAACACGGCCCGATTCATATACTGTAACGTGCAACTCCACAAGATCGTGTGCCTGACCGGACTGTGAATGGTTATCATTAGCAAGCTTGACAAAACTCTCATCAAGCCAGATTATTTTATAATTCCCACTCAGAACGTCTAAATAGGCCACGACATTAGAATTATATTCCACCCCCAGCCAGTCATAACAGCAAGAGATGTTTATGCTAAGTCAGTCTGCAGTAATCTTTCTGGCGGGAGCGTATTTGTGTGCCATTCCGAGCATATCGCAGAGATAGGAATCTTGAAGATGGAATTAATTTTGAGGGGGAGAAACTTCATAGCCAGTGCATGAGTGCTTCCTTTATCACCTGTTTCCGACCGGCATTCTGAATGGCTAAATTGCACTTTGTGATTCGTTATGTGGCTCCACTTGAGAGTTGAACCAAATAACACTGGGGCTGAAATTCTCAAGGAAGGTTTGGGAGTATTTTTTAATGCAGTGCTGGTTACTAGTGCTGTAGGGAGTGTTGGGAAGGGAGGGATTGTGCTCTTGGGCGAAGCAACTCTGAAGGAGTTGGACACGAATTCACAGAGAGAGAAAGAGATTGGTTGGCGTGAATTTATACACAACACTAAACACAAGTTGGCTTTGTGTTGAAGAAAGCAATGCCTCCCTCCCTCACTGTGAGCAAACAAAAGTGCTAAATTGTTCCATTTCCTCTCCTACGGTGCAGCAGTGGATCCATAGATTGAGAACGGAGCTGTGGCATTGTGAAATGCTTGGTTTATTTGGTGTTGCATTATAAAGTGTCGTCTCTCTAATAGCTTGCATATCAACAGGTCCATTAACAACACGCCATATGTGATGCATATCGCTTCCATTTCAGGTTAAAAATGTAAATGAATGTATAAGGGAAAGTGTATATCTTTTGTTTTTTTGCCGTCGATCGTTTTAAATGGGCCTGCGTTGAGGCAGATTTATTCCATGTAGTTTCTAAATTAATATGGGCTCAGAAAAGCTGCATGCATAATGATTATAATAAAAATTAACTAAACATTGGACTATAGCTTGTCACGCTGCAACTTCTTGAAAGTATTTAATGTCAGCTACCCATGTAAATGATGAAAATTGGCCTGTTTGTTATTATAATCACATTCAGACATGTTGCTGTTCATTGTAATAATCCTTTGATGTGAAATTATGAATATCAGCATCTCGCTAAACGCTCAGGAGTGTCAGTTTGCTGTGCTTGTGATTATTTTTTTTTTATTCCCAAATCACCAAGTATTAGATATGCGTATGTTGATGGTCAAAACAAAACGGCGATGTTCTCTGAATTCTGGAGAGGCAGACAGCCCAAGCTGAGATATACCATCACACAAAGGACGCACCAATTCCACCCGTTGATTCGCAGGCGTCGAACGCGGCATGGAATGGAGGCAAATAATGAAT